ACCATTTGCTCAAGTGGAGTCTAAAGGAAGACGGTGGGAAGGAGGAGGTGTCTGTCCAGGCTCGCATTACTCCTACTGAATTCTGAAAATTATGTGCAAGTGTAAATTGTGTATTACCACTTAAGTCTTCTAGTGGGTTACACATTTTTGTACATTCTGAAAGTACCCCTTGCATTTAGCTCACTTCCTGACTAAACCCTAGGCACTGAAAATATAAATGCAAAAGAGCTCAAACAAAAGGAATGGACACAGACCAAACAATGATTTTATATAATCTGCTTTGGTTTTGCCAAACGTTGTCGTTAATCTTCATCACTCCTTTTTAATTCCCATTTTAAAGCTAAAGCAAGCCTTGCTAATTAAGCAACAAAAAAATACACTATCCCATATATTTCCTACTGAAAGACACTAACTTGTGGAAATTGTGAATGTTTTGTTATTTTCTACAGGTTTTAATGATGCAATTCAAAGTCCAGTTTGCCAAATAATATAAATAAATGAAGTTAAATATTAAACTCAAATGTTTCCAAAAAAGTAAGGCTAAGAAGGAAAAGTTATTTGAAATTTTCAGTTTCTCTAGATAAAAGGAATTATTTCTCTAATTATCACCGCACATCCTCTCTTAAACTCTAGAGACGCTACAAACTCTCAAATTGTTAAGTTTCTGCCAAGAATTAAATTATATAAGCAACCCTCAATGTTGCATTGAAAATATACATTAGAGCTACAGACATTAAGGTTAATAAGGTCTAGAGATACAGAAATAGTGAATAAAGTCTGTAGATCAGGGAATTTCCCAATTTTCATCTTTATACTGTGGTTATTTCAGAGGCATGTTCTTATTTTTAAGAAATACAGACTGAGGTACCTAGGACTAAAGGGGCATCATGTCTACAACTTGCTCAAGCAATTCTGAAAATATGTATACACATGTATACCATGTAAAATGTTAATAGTTACGATGTCTGGTGAAAAGCATATGGGAATTTTTGTACTATACTTGCAGCTTTTCTGTAAATCTGAAGTTATGTTAAAATAATTAAAAGTTAAAAGAAACATTTACTGAGTTATTCTTTAAATCCCCCTTTATCATAGGCGGGCTGGTTGTGAGAAGTAGAACAAAGAAAAGGGGATGACGTGTTTAGCCTCAAATACCAGTGCAAGGAGAAACACTCAGAAGGTGAGCCCCGAGAGCTGCAGGATCACTGTACTCTGAGAAACTGACTGCCAGGTGAAAAGCTGAATCATAACCGGCCAAAGAAAACAGCACAAAGAATTTCTTTATGGGTCTTGGGAAAGAAAGTTAACCGAGACCCAATCAGTTCCTGCTGGAACGTGATACACTGTTCCAGGGCCCTCAAATCCTGAGTCAGAGTATACTCTGCACACTTGTATGAAAGTCACACAGGGCCATTATTTTTAAATGAATATTTATTGCAGATTTGTAAAATATAAGAAAAACCAAAGCCAAACTACCAATCAATTGGAGCTATGAAATAATTTCGAAACAATGTACTCAGATGCCTAGAATAACGTCATAAAGAATAAAGGGAAAAGATGTACATTAATTCAGTACACAGCAGATCACCAGCACAGACCAGGAATTCCACCCCATCCTCAGGCACTTTGTAACCCAATCTGAGGGGAGTTGTGTTTGGAATTACAACCATAGCAACAATCCAGTGATCCCTTTCAGGGTGAGAATCGCTCATGGAGGGAAGCCACCCTCAGTCTGAAACGTAAGAAAAGTTTCACAGAAAAACTCAGCTTTTGAAACAGTTGTTTATGACTGAAAAGGAAAGTTTCCAAAGTAGCAAAAAATGCCTGGTCAGCGTGGCTCAGCGATTGAGCATTGACCTATGATCTAGGAGATCGCAGTGCGATTCCCGTTCAGGGCACATGCCGGGTTTGCAGGATCAAACCCCAGTAAGGGGCGCAGGAGGCAGCCGATCAATGACTCATCATTGATGTTGCTCCCTCCCTCTCCCTTCCTTTCTCTGAAATCAATAAAGACATATTAAAAATAATAATAATGACGAAGTAGTTCAAAATGCACTCTGAGCTTCAATCATTCCGTAACTCTGGGGAAAAGCTGCGAGAGGAAAGTCACAGAAAGGGGAAAGTGCTGAAAGCGTATCTGGCCAGAGACTCAGATTACACATGAAGTTAGGAAATGGGAAACAAGGCGGCAGGCTCACAGCAGACGCCAGGCCCCCGGCGTTTCACATGACAGGTGTTCCGGAGCTTGTACCTTTCTCAGTAGACAAGTGGGAGCCCTTGGAAGGTCTTAAACAAAAAGTGCCAAATACACGATGCATAAAATAAATGTAAATGCGGAATCTAATTATGCGAATTCTTATGGGAAACAAATGACAGATCTCTTTAAAAAGGTGAGTACAAACTCATTTTAAGTTAGAAATATGGGCTAAAGGAGATTTAGTCCTATAGCATTATCATCACTATCACCCTTGATTAGCTTCATTTTTATAAGTGAAAATGGGCTAGAGGTCAGACAAGGGAGGCACAGATATTACCTTGGAGGATTTATAATAACAAAGCGCTGATAGCAAATCTTGACATTCCTATTCATTTGGGAAGCAATGAAAAGCTTTAACAAAATTATGTTGGATTGCGTTGGTCTGCATGGACCAATTTGGACACGGGTCTGCAGACTCTGACCTTGAGAGATGTCAATACCATCCATGACACCTTATCGGCTACAGAAGTAAGCTTACTATTATTCAGTTAGCAGAAGATATTCACCAGAAACAAAATCGGGGCCACTCTCAATGAATAACCCTCAGAACGAAAGCTGTTTAATGGATAAGAGGTCGTGTGTGCAGTGTTGGACTGACTGGAGGGGCTATTCATTCCTTCTACTCCACCTTAATGTTTAGATCAGGGAAGACAAACATTATTAGAATTTGCTCAAACACAGGTAAAGGACTCCAGAGGTGACCTACTGAAATCTGACTATGAAGTGATATGGATACTACAGTTGAGNTGAAGTCATTCTGAAAACTGGATAACGCTGTGAAGTCCATCTCTCCTATATTTCTGTGGATGGTTTGTATTTTATTCAAATGCGTTAAATGGAACACTTGGGATCACACAAAAGGAGCAGTCTTCTGACTGCTTCATCACTCCACTGCTTGCTTTGTTGATGTCCTGGGCACTCATCAGTTGGCTCATGGGGCACAAGGCCGTCTCTGGTCTTGTGTTCTCTCTCAGGCCACTGCTTCTGGACTTATTCGGACAAAACTGTTCAAAGCAAACACTGTCCAAATAGTTCTCTAATTGGCTCTTCTCGTCTTACTTCACAGTTTCCTTCCATCACAGCACCTTATTCCAAAACTTCAGTTCCCTCTTATAGATGAAATTAGAGTAGCATCCCTGGTCCTGAATTCTTCCCTGGGTTTCTCATCCACAGCTTCAACTATTTCGTGGAACATGCTAAGTATGTATGTGTGCTACTACCTAAAAACCCCCTCAAAACACCTTGTATTATGCAGTTATCCTCCTTCTTCCACTTTTTTTACCCCAAATCTATCATAGCTCCTTCATGTTCCAATTCAAGGCATCACCATCTCCATCAAAAAGCTCAAAATCATCGTGTTTAATTTATTCTTTCCCTTAACTCCAGCTTTTCATCTGGTTAGTCAGACATTTAATCTTATCAGATCGATCATAACATTCTCTCAACCCACTTTTTAAATCATCTTTTCCTCTAATTAAACTCTCAGCAATTAGGGTTTCTTTTCCTCCAAAATTCTATCTTACCATTATATCCAGCTTTCTTCCCCCAATCTGCATAACTCCTCAGTGCCTATATTACTGAGTTCAAACTCTATAATATGCTATTTAAGACAATTCAGAATCTGGCTGCAGCAATTGTTTTTTTTAACTGTATCCCACTGTAGATGCTTTCTCCTGTACATCCACTTACATTACTCTCATCCTATCAAGAATGTTTCATTTTTAAATGATTATATGCTGATGAAAACTAGTATTATTTTAAATTTTATTTTACTTAATTAAGCAACTTAATGTATTGAATGCACTTATTTTAACATTCCACAGTAAGACACAGTAAATGGATAATTCATTTAGGATGAAAGCTCTGTTAAGATTATAATAAAAACAAATCAACTAGTAATCAATTTGTTTGCATAAAAAAATCAAATTAGAATTACAAGAAAACAACAGTCATCTCAACTAGAATATATTGGTCATTATGTAATAATGTTTCATGCAATTTTATGTAATTAATAAGGCTTTGCAAATCTCTTCCCTTCTTTATGTAAAATTTTTATTAAATACTATGCTCTTACATAACTGATTTTTGCAGATTTGTTATTTGTGTTTTTTTACTAATTTCACCACAAAATATAGTAAGAAACTTCCGCACCACAGATCTTCGATGCTCTATTTTTAAAAGTCCTCAGAGAAACTCAAACTATTCTGTAAGATGATATATTAAATAATGCTTACTCCTTTAACTGAAACTTTTTGAGACAATTAAAATGTAAAAGTAGATCTTTAAGAAAGGTAGCACTTCCATATTTTATTAAATATACTTAGTATTTTGTTTATATTAATGTGAATAAATCATCAATGGATATTTCCCTTTGTCATCTATTGGAACCATGGTGCCTTAAACGAAAGCATAAATTGTGCCCTTAGTCCCCTATTTTAAATAATGTGTAAGTCGTAAAAATTATAGGACTACATGTTCATGAATGAAATACTATAAATTTACTTAAGATTAGATGCAAATATGTTAGCCTTTCATATTGCCTAATATAGTATTTTAATTTTCACTTTTTAGTGAATTCCCTAAGGAATTTTGAGAAGATGCAAAATGCGTAGGCTTCAAGGAACCGTTAAACCCTTCCACACTAGGCACCTGAAGAACCAAAGTAACAAAACTCTTTTATTACCTGGTATGATTAATATCAGAAAATACTTTTCATCTGCTGTCTGTTTACTGAGAGACCTACCCGGTATTTAAATAGAAGTCCTCTTTGTGCACGGCCAGGCAGATAACTTCATTGATATTAATGGTGCCATTAGGAGTGGTGGACTTATCATTTTCATAGTAACTCAGGAAGCCTCCTTCCAAAACACACCACTTTTTATTTGTCTCTAAGAATTTAAAACAAAACAATAAAATTGAACTGAGTCACGACTCTAATTTGAAAAAATACATGGTTTAAATAATGACTAGATTCAAATAAACTTATTTTCTATTTCGTGTAAAGAGCACGCTATTGATTCATGACATATAAAGTTGTCATACTCTGCTCTCCAAACATTTCTAGCAAGGGCTGTACTAGACAAAAATAGCTATGACACTGATGACCAGTGAAGGACATAAAAGACAGCTGCAAACAACCCTGAAACAGCAACGATGGAGGTCTACAGACACTTAGGAAGGGCAAAGTGTAGGGTAAAAAGCAAGACTATGGCTGACCTCTGGTGTGCAAAGGAAGAAGGAGTGAGAACATGCAGTTCCCTTAATGCCTTGATGAGGAACTTAAAATTCATCTCGTAAGGTTAATGTGCTATGGCCTGGAGGCCAAAAGGCCAAACCCAGGCCATCACTAGTTCCTGTCAGTGAAGGGTCACTGACACACAGCCACACCCATTCATTTACAGATCCTCTGTGGCTGCACTCCCACTGCAAGGGCAGATCGGAGCTGTGGCACAGACTATCCCGCCCACAAAGCTAAGAATATTTACTCTGTGGCCCCTTTCAGAAGTTTGCTGAGTTTTGATTTTGCAGTTGATGGTGAGCCATTAAATTGGTTTCAGCAGAGGATTCTAATCAGGTTTGTGTTTACTGTGAAAAATGGATCTGAGAAGGTGAGGCCAGGGGCAGAAAATCAGTTAGGATACTGTTGACAGAAGTCTATCTGAGAGACGAAGACCGCCCAAAGCAGGCTAGTGGAGCGTAGTAGGGATAAGAAGGAAAGGGGGAGAGAGAAGGGGAGGGGGGAGAGAGAATGAGTGCATGGACTGTGTTCTGAGGAGACAAACATATATTGATTGGATGTAGAGAGTAAGGGGGAACTAATTAACGGTGACACTATTTTTAGTTTTGATTACAAAGCCGGTAGTGATACCCACCTTTATTTAAAAGAAAATATATATAGTTTTAGTGCATGTGATATGAGTTTCCTTTTAGAACACCGAATTAGAGATATCTTGGAGAACCAAGTAGAAATATATATAAGACGATCACCCTATGGGTTTGCATCTTGGGGCAAGCAAAGGTCTTGATAACTAGAAAGTCTTTAGAAGGTAGGTAGTATTTGAAAATATAAGTAACCAAGGAGATAATCTTAGGAAAATTAAAATTGTAAGGAGTTGTCAGCTACACTTTAATCAATATATATGTAAAATAAATAAATAAATTTATATAATAAATTGTAACAGATGTAGAGGGGTCCTTGAAAGCAATGAAGCAAATGAGAAGAGACAGTATATAAAAAGAAAAAGGGTAGAGTATTTCCAAAAAGAATGCCGCTATTAAATATAGCAAAGAGATGTAAAAAAATAAGGGCTGAAAAAATGTCAGCTGGTTTTCATAATAAAGAGGTAACTGCCTAGTTTACTGAGAGTGCTGAGAAAAAAGCCAGACTGCAGCACACTGAAGACTAACTGGGAAGAAATGGAACCAGTGAGGGCAGATCAATCACCTACGTCATAAAGGAAAGGGTATCGTAAGCTAAAATGAAAGCATAAGCTGTGGTCAACAGCAGACAATCAAAAAACATTTACTGAAGTGAAACAATGATGAACATATTATTTCTCAGAAACAAAAAGGGAATAAAAATAAAAATTGGGAAGGCACACTTAAGATCTTGAAGTAGGAAGATTATTTAATTGTAATAGCATCCCACTCAGTTAATCCAGTTTCTCCACGACTGGGGCTTAGGCCAACGTCTCCCAGGAATCTTCAACCCTCTGACCTTCTCGCCAGGCCAGGTGAAGTATCTTAAGTATCTTCCTGTGGTATCCTTACCTCTACACAGACCCTAAGAAGGCGGAATTGGAAGTCAAAGGCTCTGGGTTCTAATACTGCCTCCATCACTAACTGGGTACCCTTGAAAAAGGCTTAACCATTCTGTGCCTCAGGTCCTTCCTCCGTAAAATAGGGATAAGAAAAATATCTAACTCATAGGATTACAGTATTGATAAAATGATGGGACACATGTGAAACACAGAGAAATGTAACTTTATATGGGTTGTTTAAATACACAGTGCCATTTTTATACGATCTAATAATTTTTATTCAATATAACAATTTAAAACACTATTTTTAAATTTAACCACAATATAACAATTTATATTTATTTATTTACCCAGCAATTCTGTAAGCTACTTGAGAACAAGGATTATATTTTCTATTCTTAAGAATCACCACATCACTTAGCCTAGGGAAAATTTGTTGAAATTATTATTTTCATAAACTAGGAAGTAAAATTACTACTCATGGAGATGGCTCAGATGAGGTTTCCAACTTGAAGAAAAATGCAAAGATAAGAAATGTGTTAAAGAATCATAAACATATGTACTTTTATGCATAGGATGGCTCTGTGTAATGCATCTCCATTCCTTCCCAAACTCCAAAAAGAATTGACACAGAAGAAATAGAAGTATACACTCTAAAGGACAAGGCTAACCCGAAGAGACCTACAAGACACAGGAAAATGACGGACTTGCCTCAAAGGCAAAAGCTGGTACCTTCAGACATGTGCATCAAGTCAACCAAAAGTAAGCACTGTTCTACAAGGTCCCAGAAAATTCTGGAGGCTAGTATCTCAGCAAGTGTGGAGTAAGACATTATTTATTGCTATAATTTAATTGAAGACTTAACAATGGAAGCTAGGGACTATTTTCAAAAAGTTGTTTATGTTTTGTCTTTTTTCATTTTGAAAATAAGGTTTGGGGTAGTTGCTAAAAAGATGCAATAACCATTTGCTCAAGTGGAGTCTAAAGGAAGACGGTGGGAAGGAGGAGGTGTCTGTCCAGGCTCGCATTACTCCTACTGAATTCTGAAAATTATGTGCAAGTGTAAATTGTGTATTACCACTTAAGTCTTCTAGTGGGTTACACATTTTTGTACATTCTGAAAGTACCCCTTGCATTTAGCTCACTTCCTGACTAAACCCTAGGCACTGAAAATATAAATGCAAAAGAGCTCAAACAAAAGGAATGGACACAGACCAAACAATGATTTTATATAATCTGCTTTGGTTTTGCCAAACGTTGTCGTTAATCTTCATCACTCCTTTTTAATTCCCATTTTAAAGCTAAAGCAAGCCTTGCTAATTAAGCAACAAAAAAATACACTATCCCATATATTTCCTACTGAAAGACACTAACTTGTGGAAATTGTGAATGTTTTGTTATTTTCTACAGGTTTTAATGATGCAATTCAAAGTCCAGTTTGCCAAATAATATAAATAAATGAAGTTAAATATTAAACTCAAATGTTTCCAAAAAAGTAAGGCTAAGAAGGAAAAGTTATTTGAAATTTTCAGTTTCTCTAGATAAAAGGAATTATTTCTCTAATTATCACCGCACATCCTCTCTTAAACTCTAGAGACGCTACAAACTCTCAAATTGTTAAGTTTCTGCCAAGAATTAAATTATATAAGCAACCCTCAATGTTGCATTGAAAATATACATTAGAGCTACAGACATTAAGGTTAATAAGGTCTAGAGATACAGAAATAGTGAATAAAGTCTGTAGATCAGGGAATTTCCCAATTTTCATCTTTATACTGTGGTTATTTCAGAGGCATGTTCTTATTTTTAAGAAATACAGACTGAGGTACCTAGGACTAAAGGGGCATCATGTCTACAACTTGCTCAAGCAATTCTGAAAATATGTATACACATGTATACCATGTAAAATGTTAATAGTTACGATGTCTGGTGAAAAGCATATGGGAATTTTTGTACTATACTTGCAGCTTTTCTGTAAATCTGAAGTTATGTTAAAATAATTAAAAGTTAAAAGAAACATTTACTGAGTTATTCTTTAAATCCCCCTTTATCATAGGCGGGCTGGTTGTGAGAAGTAGAACAAAGAAAAGGGGATGACGTGTTTAGCCTCAAATACCAGTGCAAGGAGAAACACTCAGAAGGTGAGCCCCGAGAGCTGCAGGATCACTGTACTCTGAGAAACTGACTGCCAGGTGAAAAGCTGAATCATAACCGGCCAAAGAAAACAGCACAAAGAATTTCTTTATGGGTCTTGGGAAAGAAAGTTAACCGAGACCCAATCAGTTCCTGCTGGAACGTGATACACTGTTCCAGGGCCCTCAAATCCTGAGTCAGAGTATACTCTGCACACTTGTATGAAAGTCACACAGGGCCATTATTTTTAAATGAATATTTATTGCAGATTTGTAAAATATAAGAAAAACCAAAGCCAAACTACCAATCAATTGGAGCTATGAAATAATTTCGAAACAATGTACTCAGATGCCTAGAATAACGTCATAAAGAATAAAGGGAAAAGATGTACATTAATTCAGTACACAGCAGATCACCAGCACAGACCAGGAATTCCACCCCATCCTCAGGCACTTTGTAACCCAATCTGAGGGGAGTTGTGTTTGGAATTACAACCATAGCAACAATCCAGTGATCCCTTTCAGGGTGAGAATCGCTCATGGAGGGAAGCCACCCTCAGTCTGAAACGTAAGAAAAGTTTCACAGAAAAACTCAGCTTTTGAAACAGTTGTTTATGACTGAAAAGGAAAGTTTCCAAAGTAGCAAAAAATGCCTGGTCAGCGTGGCTCAGCGATTGAGCATTGACCTATGATCTAGGAGATCGCAGTGCGATTCCCGTTCAGGGCACATGCCGGGTTTGCAGAATCAAACCCCAGTAAGGGGCGCAGGAGGCAGCCGATCAATGACTCATCATTGATGTTGCTCCCTCCCTCTCCCTTCCTTTCTCTGAAATCAATAAAGACATATTAAAAATAATAATAATGACGAAGTAGTTCAAAATGCACTCTGAGCTTCAATCATTCCGTAACTCTGGGGAAAAGCTGCGAGAGGAAAGTCACAGAAAGGGGAAAGTGCTGAAAGCGTATCTGGCCAGAGACTCAGATTACACATGAAGTTAGGAAATGGGAAACAAGGCGGCAGGCTCACAGCAGACGCCAGGCCCCCGGCGTTTCACATGACAGGTGTTCCGGAGCTTGTACCTTTCTCAGTAGACAAGTGGGAGCCCTTGGAAGGTCTTAAACAAAAAGTGCCAAATACACGATGCATAAAATAAATGTAAATGCGGAATCTAATTATGCGAATTCTTATGGGAAACAAATGACAGATCTCTTTAAAAAGGTGAGTACAAACTCATTTTAAGTTAGAAATATGGGCTAAAGGAGATTTAGTCCTATAGCATTATCATCACTATCACCCTTGATTAGCTTCATTTTTATAAGTGAAAATGGGCTAGAGGTCAGACAAGGGAGGCACAGATATTACCTTGGAGGATTTATAATAACAAAGCGCTGATAGCAAATCTTGACATTCCTATTCATTTGGGAAGCAATGAAAAGCTTTAACAAAATTATGTTGGATTGCGTTGGTCTGCATGGACCAATTTGGACACGGGTCTGCAGACTCTGACCTTGAGAGATGTCAATACCATCCATGACACCTTATCGGCTACAGAAGTAAGCTTACTATTATTCAGTTAGCAGAAGATATTCACCAGAAACAAAATCGGGGCCACTCTCAATGAATAACCCTCAGAACGAAAGCTGTTTAATGGATAAGAGGTCGTGTGTGCAGTGTTGGACTGACTGGAGGGGCTATTCATTCCTTCTACTCCACCTTAATGTTTAGATCAGGGAAGACAAACATTATTAGAATTTGCTCAAACACAGGTAAAGGACTCCAGAGGTGACCTACTGAAATCTGACTATGAAGTGATATGGATACTACAGTTGAGAACCTGTGCTGTCACCTACAGCCGATAGGACATGCCTAAACTCAAGGGCTAACTGGAAACCAGAAGCAGCCCCTCCACGGCTCCTCCCTCCCCTCGTCCCCTCATCATCACATTTCTGTGCCATGCATTCTTCTACACACTTCATGTACAGCAACTCACTGAATCCTAGAACCACCCTATTAGGTCAGTCCTATTACCACTTAGCCCTTCCTTGTGGCCTGTAGACAGGCACAAAGCAGTTAACTGGCCTCCCCAGATCACACAGCGCTCAGCACCAGAGCTGGAGGCAGAGCCCGGCAGGCAGCTCGCGAAGCTGCGGTCTTAACTACTTCACCTACTACCTCTGCGTGCCTGTTACACATCTGAAGCCTGTATGTTCATTTTTAATGCGTTAGGGTGGAGTGGAGGTCATGCCTTCTAACACCTATGTGTGCAATACACCTGAGATAATTAAGGGGAGACCATTATTTTTGGAAAGCATAAAGTCATTTCCTGGTGAAGAATTTCCTAAACTGATAGTATTCGGCATCCACGGAAAATAAGAATACACGCTAGGAATCCTTTTCGTTTGAAATAAACGTGTTTTAGCCTTGGAAAAACTTTGTAAAACTACGCAAGCTAGGCATTCATGGAACAAGAGACCATCAAAATTCCTCAATGCTAGTCTATGAAATTAAATATAAACAAACGATACAGACTTTCTTTCTAAGACTCAAACACTGTCAACAAATCAAAGTAAGATGCTAAAGGAAAAAATACGGTTGAGGGGAGAAAACAGAAAACAAAAGCAGGATGCCATTATTCAGCTCTACACTTAGAGCTATCAATCTTTTCTTCCATGAACACTAAATTGAGGAGAAAAAGAAAAATAGAGATCAGTCTTCATAACCAGAGGCTAGAAGAACTCCAAACCTGAAAACCTGAGCTGCCAGTTTGAAGCAGCTCTGTAACTCTCTGAAAGGCCACATGCACTTTATGCCCTGGCTTTTTCTCGGTTTTTTATCATTTTGCTCTATGGCGTCTAGACAAGCACTGACGGAGTGGTGCGGCCCAGGCGCTTGCTATTCAGAAGCAAAAGTGACAGCCATGCTTTAATCTCTAAATCTCTCCAAATAATTCATCTTTTCCATAACGCTGGTGCTCAGTAGGAGTAACACCACTACAGAACCTTGAGGGCAAAGAGAGAAAGAAAAAAACAAAAACGCTAGAGCTTTATGCTTCTTGGTGCTTCAACTTTTTCTTCTTCATTCTTAAGTAGACTCTTTCTGAACCAAAATATGCTTTTTGCCAGCAATTATGTATTTTTATGCACGGAGGAGAAACAAAATGTTAAGTCACTTGCACTTTTACACTGGTAGTAATGTGACTAGAGGAATGGTCATTTATTCGAAAAATGGTTATCATGTGACTACTATGTGTCAACACAGTTTTAGGCACCAAAAATCTGATAATCCTGAATAAGTCAGAAAATGCTGCTGCTCGGTTGGGCTTTCACTCCAGAGGGAAAGAAAATCAAACCAATGAAGGGGGATCACGTTCACGTGCTAAGTGCTACAATGGAAACAGGCAGCAGACTATAAAAGAGAACAGCTGGCAGTGGGCACACACTCGAGCAGAGTGCCAAGGGGTCTCTCTGACTAGGCAGCACTGAATTGATCCTGAAACAGGAGAAGCAGTGAGGGGAGGGGTTTCCCTGCATAGTGAACAGCAATGGCAGGGGTCCAGAAGAGGCAGAAGAGAATGTAGAGCGTTGCAGAAACAGACAGGAAACCAGTGCGGCCAGGCACGATGTGGCAAAGGGAGGAAGAATGGGAGATGAAAGTCAGATGGCGTGAAAAGGCCTTTTAGGTCACAATAAGGAACAGGGCTATATTCTGGAATGGGAAGCTGCTAAACGTACTTGAACAATGGAAGTACATGACCTGATTTACGTTCTTAATGAACACGGAGTCCATTTCTGGGAAATGGTTTGGAGGGAGGGAGGGCAGATACCAGCGGACAAATAAGGGGGTTGTAACAGCCCAAGAAGGACATGATGGTGCTGGGGCTAGAATTATATTAGGGGAGGTGAAGAGTAGTCTACTGATTCATAACCCATTCTGAGTTTGAAATAACAGACCTTGCCAAAATACTGGACAGAAGAAATGGAGATAATCAACGAATGCCTTGCCAGGAGATTATTTCCAATGAAATAATCTTTGTGTGCTGCATAGCCAAAGTACAAAAGTTCAATTTCATATTACTTAAAAAAGAATGTTCCAAAACGAGAAAACATCCCTAATTAAATTGCACATACAGAGAATGCACCAGTTTGTTTTTAAAAATAAATTTTAACAAAAAAATCTATAGTTAATTTGTAAAAGATAAAAGGAAACATTAACTTAGTTACAAGTTTAAAGCATTAATTCAGTCTTCAAGCCATTAAGAAAAAAACACCATATTTCAAGGAAATAGTAAAACTGGGCAGTCTATAAATAGCATAAACACAATTGTCAAGAAATAAATAATCCTATTTTCATCCTGCAGGGTGCTTATGATATTGGACAGCTTCAGGACGAAAGTCTATTTCAAATCCCCTATTTCATCTTTTTATAATGGTTCGAAGGGTAGGCCTAAAATCTCCTACTGTTTAGAAGAAACATTCTAGAAAACCTGTAAATTTATTTGCAAGTGCATTAAATGCTTTATTATCCTATTATTTAATATCTGCTATAGTCAATTCACAGATCATTCAGGCACTTTCTCCTTCCTTCTGATCAGTCAACATAAGGGTTAAACTGATAAGGAGTAACAGAAGGTGAGAAAAATCTCTGTAAAATTGATTATTGGTTAGGCTGAATTAAGAAAGACATTAAAAACCAATTGCTGAAAGAAACAAAAACATCTAAATTCAAAAGAGAAAAATGTTCCCCTTTCTAGTGTCACCTGGCCAAAGTGCTACAATAACAATTATAACACAATTCAGATATAAAACTCTGCTTGATGCTAAACTCCTCCATTTTTCAAGTGAAAATCAGCATAATATCAACTATCGTGCAGTTTTTATCAGGATTATAATTAATGTATGTAAAGTATCTAAAGCAATATCTTACATACAGTACATGCTCACTACAGGATTGCTACTGTTCTCAGAAAAATCTAATGAAGTAGTTAATCCCAACAGAATTCTGCTTAGGGAAATAACTTTTTGGAAATAAAGTATTTACACTGAAATAATCCCTTAAATGCACAAGGATCCGGATTAACACTTTAAAGTGAGTTTGTCACCCTATTGTTGCTTTGATGGAGTAATGTGCTGGATTACACCACCCAGGGAACTAACACACCAGCTCCCGAGCCTCTGAATGCCCACCATCAGTTGGCCTATGGAGCTTAATCTCTCTTAAATTCTCTGTTCCAGGAAGACAGAGCTCATATTTTCCTGCCTCTATTTCTAAAATTAGTTCAAATATTTGTCCCCTGAGCATGAGGCTTGTGCCGTATTCATTTTTGGATTCCTGAAGCCTACCTAGCACACACCTGACACATGGAGCTGGGTAGATAAATGCCTACAGGGACTCCACACAGATAATTCCTCAAACACAGAATAGGCTGAAAACACACACACACACACACACACACACACACACACACACACAGTTACCATCAGAACACAATGAACTACCCAATATCACTTAGTATGCTGATAGAATACACACTGAAAACTTGTCAGTCCTTCCTATTTGTTCACATTTACTATATTATCTCCCCAGTTAGGGTGTCTATCCCTAAGGGAAGGGGCCGAGTTTCACCATTTCTTTGGAATAACTCTTACATCCTGAAATAGAGTTGGCTGGCCCTATGGTAGACATCAGTGAATTCTGTTGAGAATTCACTCAGCATTCCAACCCAGTGGTAAATCCCTGCTGCAGCTCATGAAATATTATCTGTGCCTGGAAGCATTTATAAATCCTAAAAATTATATTTTTCTACTACAAGATCAAATCTAACATCTTAAGGGGAAAAAATATCAAAATTTAAACCTAATTGTTTTGATAATGAAAGACAGTTTTATCAGTTAACAAAATCTAAAATGAGCAGAAAAGATACCTTCCAGCAGTTTTTTCTCTGAAGAGAGTTTAGACGCAGCAGAAGGAGCCTGGTATAGAAAGTCACAGAGGAACGGGCACTGGGGGGACTCCTGACTTGGTCCACCTTCAAAATGAACTTCATGTTGAGGAAAATCTAGGAAAATCACAGAAATAATGCATTTGAAATCTAAAATGTAAACAATTTTCCCTTTGCTTATGAATATGAGTTTTGAGCTTGAAGAAAAACTACTTCAAATATATCACAGAATAATACACAGGGATATTTATTTTACTTTGCATAAAAGTTGCAAAATAAGCACTTAAGTTGTGTTTATTATTCATATATGAAAATCGGATTTGATTTTGGGGAAAATGATAATGTAGGATTAAGTGTTTTAATCTTCTATTTGTAAGATTATGGAAACATAAAAGCTTTATTTCCCAAACTTTTTCTTAAAATAAAACGTAGTTTTACGATCTTCCATCTTTTTGGTAATAACATTTTTCTTCATTCTGATGGCTTTTCTTATTTGAGAAATTAACAGATTTGTGCTTCTATCTGTTTAGGGATATAGCAGAAGAAACCAGGCTAATGAAGGAACTAACCTGAGAACTTGTTGTGGTAGAGAAATTCCATCTGCAGAGTCTGCCCAGCCTTCTTGGCCAGCAGGTAGGGGGTGCTGTGCACGGGGTCTCCAGTTGCACACATGACGTCTGCTCCACTGAACAGCAAAGCCATTGTTTCCAGAACATCCGATTTCACCACAGCAGCACACAGGGCCTGGTGATTGAAAGGAAATATATCTGTTAAAGGAAGACAACACTATTCTAGCTATTAAAATGAGTGACCATCTGTCCATTTATGATATGAAGTTTGCATTCCTTTTTAACGAAGAACTATTAGGATGCCCTGGATTAAGCAATAGGCCCAAAGGCTTGCTCTGTATGAATTTAAATTATAACCTAAGGCCTCCAAGTCTCAACTCATTGTTTTGTTGCTATTATGTTCCAAACCTTCTAATCTAGTATATTTGCTTTGGAAGACATTTCTTATGCTTACATAACTATGATAATGACTGGTGCTCAGAAAATTCAAAATATTTCAGATGTAATATGAAGTATCCACTGAATGTTTTGCCATATGAGTGTTGTACAAATGCATGTATGTGTGTAAGTAGGTATGTACGTTATATATTTTCTGGCCTTACAGGAATCTGTATACTCTTTCAATTATTGTTGTGCTGTGGTAATTTCAAAGATGAGTCCAAATTCAAAAGCTTTCCTTTTGGGGGAGGGATAATGTGGGGAGCAGGAACAGTAAACAGACATAACAAACTATTAAGACATGTTATACACCACCATGTACAAACAGAATTACTGAAATCTGATTTCTTTTTTCCTTGAAGTAATAAGCTGCCTTTACATCTCTTCCCATCCTCTCTCCTTGCTTTACTTTACTGGCTTCCCATTTACTTCCAAACTTTCTGATGTTGCACCCTGATTCCATCTGACTTTAGCCTCAGGTTCACCATTTACCTCCTCCCTGACGGCGTATCTGGATGCATCACTAGTTAATCTGCCCCCCGTAATGCAACTTCAGGATAATCATTCATTAACCATCCCAATGGGCAGCTCAGAGTGTGCAGCCAAGGAGCCCCTCCAGCAGACCCCTTTGTATATATATTCAGAAGTGGGATGGCGATATCACACGATTACCGTATTTTTAGTTTTTTGAGGAATCTTTATACTGTTTTCCAATGTGGCTGAACTAACTGGTATTCCCACCAGCAGTGCACAGGGGTTCCCTTTTCTCCACAGCCTCATCAACACTTGTCATTTCTTGTCTTCTTGAACACAGCCATTCTGACAGGTGTGAGATATCTTATTGTGGTTCTGATTTGCATTTCCCTAATGATTAGTGATGTTGAACATCTTTTCATATTTCTGTTGGTCAATTGGATGTCTTCTTTGGAAAAATGTCTATTTAGATTCTTTGACCATTGTTTAAGCAGATTTTTTATAAATTGAGTTGTATGTGTTCTTTGTGTATTGTGGATATTATCCCTTACACAGTGCATGGTTTGCAAATACAACCTACTATTTATATACTTATTTATTATGAACCTCTAGCCACAGAATTAGATTAATTATAACCCTCGGTTTATGATACCCTGTCGTCATTATTCCAAACATGTCTGGTATAATTGGTCAGTTATTTTAATAATATATTTACTACTCATGAAACTACCACCGAAAACAAAACTAAATGTCTTAATAATAACCTATGTAAATATACGTTCCCCACTCCCATCCCATCTCTCTGAGGTTTCCGACCTTAGGTGCCCATCCTGAATCTTGAATTTATTGTGCCACTGCTTTAAAATCAATGAGTGGCCTCACTTTACAAATACCAAAACTTCACAAAGAAGAAAAACTTAGTTAATGGGAACTAAACCCATAGAAAAGACATGTAAATCAATTGTATAAATCTGATAATGTCTAGAGAAGTATGGAAAAGGTCTTCATTTATTTTCCAAAATGTTCAGCATAATGCTACTTACCCAGGAATCCTTATCTAATAAGTACTGCCGTTAAAAGCATACTAAAGAACTGAGAAACATTCTCTGAGCATAAAAACTACAGGGATATAAAAGTATATGTTTTAAATATCTATGCATAGAAGAGCCTCCTGACACACAAGACATGGAACCAGCAATTTAAAAAAAGAGAATGGACCAGGATGCTTAACAAATCCTTTGTCAAAGGGGTGAAGACCAAGGGGGAGCATAAAATGGTCACAAAAAGACCTGGAATCACTCAGCCAAAGGCAAAAATGCCAGTTCACATCAACCGCACTAAGCAAACAATTGTTGTAACAATAGACTGAGAACATGATGTTAATTCTGGTGACAACAAGTCAGCAATGTATGAGCTGAAGTTATATCCCGTACCCTGCCCCTAAAATAGGGAAAGTCATCAAAATTTTAAGAACAATGGGATTTACCTAAATTAGCTGGAATCTCATGGAGGAAGAGTTTACCTGCTACTGATGACAAAGCCTTAAGGGAAAACAATGGGAAAGCACTGACAGTCTCACAAAAGGAAATAAAATAAGATTAAGCAATCATTTTATCAAATAGTAAAGGATTTTTTACTTCTTTCCAAGACCCTTAGCACATATTTTAAAAGATATTAAAATCCACGTCTGTTGTTATGTTTTATTGGATACCTTATTCAGCTCTTCCTTGGTGAGAGAGGCCAAAAGGGTTTTCCTGAATCTTCCTTCTTTGTACTTCTGAGTAATGAAGGTTTTTCTCTTTTCTACTGGCGCATCCATGTGTAATTCTTCATCTTTTTGAAGGTTACCAGCCCAAAAGTCATTTGCTCTTTTGTTTCCAATGACAATAAAAAGCTGAATTATCAAAAAATTATAAAGCACATCAGTTCCTAAAATGTACTTAAATCTGCAGAAAACTGACTCCCATTATACATTAAAGCATAACTTAGTATAAAATATGCAAAAACACAAGAAAGATCCAACTCTTTCAGGAAGATAGAGTGTGAAAGCAGATACTGTTTCTATTTTAAATATAGTCTAGCTGCTCTTAATAACAGTAAAAGATTAGTGAGGAGAGAAACTGCAAGCCACAAAAATTGCAGCCAAAGCGTGATTATTTTTTGACGCTCACATTGAGACAGATTCATTTAAAATGGCTGAGTAGGTGGACTAATGTGGTTGGTGCTAATGCCAAGCAGAAAATGGAATTGGGAGACAGTAAGCTAGACATGATCGCAGTTAATGACACAGCATGGCCAAGATAAAGAATGGTAAATTTTGCCCAATGTTTTCATCACTTTTCTACTATTTAATCCATACAGAGTTAAAAAAAAAAAAGTAAATTCTGGCTTAATGACAAAGCTGTCAAGCCTTTGAAAGTAGTTATTACTATTAAAGCTCCTTGTACTTTTTTATTTTTTAAATAACTATCTCACTTAGGAAACATTTTAAAAGTTAAAGTAGAAAGTTGCTACTATCAAAGAGACTATTATGTGGTGAACAGTTTACCAAGGAGCTCCTAAGTAAGCTCCTAACCTGCATCTCTCCTCCCACACTTCTGCCACCACCACAGTTAAACCAGACTCACCTCAATCAGTTCATTCGTCCAAATGCTTGCATCCATTTTTAGACTTCTAACCTTGGAGTCTTTTGGTCCTAAAGATCTATGGTGTCCTGAAGTCAAAACACAGTTGCATTTCTATTTTAATTCATATATAAACGTATTTTACCTTTTTATAAACGTGTATGTGTATGCATGGATGTATGTGATTATGTATTTTTTCAACTTAAAATACACTGATATCTAATTTCCAACCTGCAGCAGTGATGGCATTTATACAGAAATTATAACCAACCACAATGAAGTTAATGGGATTCCCTTCATCACCACCATGTACTGGCATAAAACTATACTCTTAAAAAAGTGTGTAGGGATGTATATGTATACGTGTGCATGCAGTGTGTAAGTATGTATGTATGTATATATATACACATCTAATTTTTGCATTGTTTGGTAATTAACTAGAAATCATAGGTTACTGAAAATATTTTATAATAGGTCTGAGTAAATTACATGTACGTAAAAACAGATATTATCCCTTTAATCTTAAAAAACAAACTAGCTACAACTCTAATAAATGTGTACTTAAAAATCTTCAGTGGATCCTTTATTTTACTACTTTATGCCTGGAAGAGAGTAACAGCCCAGCATTCTATTATTATCAATTCAATTATTCTGTATAAATCAACATTCAGTCATTAGTGGCACCCAGGCATTTGTCAGATGCTTTATTTCTCAGCTCTTGAGAAAGAAAAAAGGTATACAAGACATTATCCTTGATCGTAAGGACCTGCCTTAAGAGTATGAAAGAGTTCCTCTCCATAAACCATAAAAGGTTCCTTTCCTTTTGTCTTTTGAGATGGAAACTACCCAGAACACAAAGCCCTAGAATTCCCAGGGCAGGAATTTGCACAGGTTTGCATTTATAAAGACTCCCTAAAGGCAACAGGGTCAGACTTAGAATCCCCAAGGAAGAACTGGACGGGATGCTAGAGTAGCCTAGACAAGAAATGACAGAATCTGAGTTGAGGCAACAGAAACAGTGGAAGGCAGATTTAGAAATACTGCAAAGATGAAACTGATGGGACTTGGTGGCCTTTAAGGAGACGGGAAGGGTCAAGAGGGTCTCTCAGGTTTTAAGCTTTAGGGTAAGGTACGCATTATTGCTTCTGGCCAAGATTTGGAATATAGGAGAACGTGTAGTTTTATGTAATGAGCGGGGCACCAGTGAGAGCTCCACTTCCAACAGGTTATTTTTGAGGGATCTTGGGCAAATCCAAGCAGAGGTTCTAGTAGGTAGATATGAATATGGTTTCCAAAAGAGTCATCTGCATTAAGATGAGAGTTGAATTCAAATTATAAATATCATCCCTCAGGAACATCAAAGTGGAAGGGAGCAGAGCATGCAACCCAAGGGAACACACGTATTTTAGGGGCAGGCAGAGGGAGTAGCCTGAGAGATGAGCAGAGCAGGGAGAGCACACCTAGAGGAGAAGGTCTCCTGGAGGTGGGGAGAGGACGGGAGGTCGTAAAGCGACAGGTTGATCACGAGTGTTAAATGTTGTGAAAACTGACCACACGGAAATGGAGAGGCAAACTACACTGGTAAAGGTGGTGAAAATATTTTTACTGGTGCTGGAGAGAAAAAAAGGCTGATTACAGATGCTGCAGAAAACCTAGGACGTTCATGAAGGAAACCTGTGCAGATTACTGCTCTTGAAAGTATTGGTCTATTAGAGGAAAATGGAGCAAAGAATGATGCACAGAAGGGACTGGTTAAGTTCTCAGAAAGGCGGTGTTACCAGGACAGACTAAGGCTGGTGTATATACTGAAACAGAAGACACCGTAGCTGAGTAATTACACAGAGAGTGAGAAGAAAGGAGCCTTAGCAGGAAGAACGGCCTCGGACAGCAGGAAGGCTACCTCTTCCTGAGACTGGAAGGCGACAGGGCAGGCCGAATGCAAAGTATAGGGGGTTAATCGATGCTTTCTGTCGTCGCTCTTGATGTTAATCAGCCCCTTGGGGAACCCTATCGTGATGAGGAATGTGGCGGCATGAAGCTTTAGAGAAGTACTGAGGGTTCAAGCAACTATCCTTGTCTTGGCCCCAGCTGGCTCAGGTGCTCCCCCGTGTCCCTCAGTGAAACCTGTACCATACTCTTGCCCTTATCGCCCCCTATTGTAATTTTTTGATATGTTACTGCAGGAAATGCCATGTCTCACACATCTTTTTAATTCCCAGGAACAATACCGGTACCTGGTAGAGCAAAAAAATGAAGTTAAGTTTTCCCTAAGCTGGGGTCCACTCCCTCCACTCACTTGGACAACTGTCTGAGCTCCTAATACACTGAGCTGCCAGACAGTCTGTAAGGTGTAAGGTCACACAGGAAGACCAGCCACAGCACTGGCTACTTTCATAAACTTCAATGGGCCTGGAAAATAGTTCTGTATAAAAATTCTCACTATACGGGGTACCAGATCTGGTGGATCAAGTTGAGATCTCAGATCCACCTTGATGTGAAAAATAGGATTTACAGCCCAGCCGGCATGTCTCAGCAGTTGAGCGTCGACCTAGGATCCAGGAGGTGGAGGTTCGATTCCCGGTCAGGGCACATGCCCGGGTTGCGGGCTCAATCCCCAGTCGGGGGCCTGCAGGAAGCAGCCGATCAATGACGCTCTCATCATTGATGTTTCCATCTCTCTCTCCCTCTGAAATCAATAAAGATATATTTTTAAAAAAACAGGACTTACAAAATATGACTGAAGAAAAAAGGACAAGTCATACAAAGAGAAAGTGTTTTCAGAGTACATTCTGAAACACACTCACCTAAAATCTAAAAATGTCGACATTGTCTTTTTAAAATCCATACATGGACCAGGAGGCACAAAAAAATGATTACATGCTTAAAAATCAATTTTTATATCTAAGTCATGCACACAAGAAGTTTAGAATTACATTTCTGAAATTGATTTAAATGTAATAAGCTTTCTCTGCTTTTATTTTCCACAACCATTAGCTGGGACACATCATATATGACAATAAAGAGCTTTTGGTGCCAATCTGCCACCAAACAGTGATGAGCATAACTTATCACTAATTACCTGCACACTTCTTACAGATGACAACACAGAGATTGATGGATGCCCAGTCAGGATCCGGGGCTTTACAGTCTGCACAGCTCCTGTTGGACTCATTGAACCAAATCTTCTCAGCTACTTCGTAATCAGAGAGAGTTTCTGCTATCGACTGCTGCACAGCTTCAATCCACTCTTGTTTCTCCTTTTCAGACTCGGCTACGAAGCTGAAACAATTACCGTTTTCGCATTATCGATCTCCCTTGTAAAGGCCAATTCAGCCGTATGTTCACTTTGCATATTCATTTCACTCACAAATTAAACAGCAGCTGAAAAATATGCCTTCCAGGCTGTTGGAGAGTCTTTTCTGCTAAAAATCACCTAATTTAGAGATCTATTTTTTCCCCTTTAACTTTTCACATTGCTTATGACTTTGTTTACATATCTTGAAGCAAAATTAATATACATCTTTCTGGCCAGGATATAAAAATTGCATTGTTAGGTCAAAAGCTTAAAGGAGAGGCCCTGCTTCCCAAGCAGTGTTTATGGAATAGTCAGCGGGAGACTGGCAGGGTTTCGGAACTACAGGATTATTTCGCCAAGAAAGAATGCCATGATAGTCTGAAACTAAACTACCAAAAACACCCGCCGGAAATTTTAATTTTTTTAGTACTAAAAATAGATTCTTTTTTTAATTAGAAGGACGTACAGATGGCTTTAAGAGACTGAGAAATCAGAAAGTTTTAGTGATTACTATTCTAACCGAATTCTAACTCATTTTTAGCCATGTTTTGATTTACTCTAAGTCTTAGCGTCTATTGGGTGCCTGAGTGAAAGAATAAAAAATTAAACATTAGTTTCATAAACATCTTTAACAAATAGCTACTGAGTACCTCTAATGTGCCCGGAAATGTGCTACAGTGCTCCACACTCAGCCAACGACCCTCAGAATAATGTTTCCCCTTAAAATTTTCTGCTCTGAAGATGAAAATGCTTTGAAATATCATAAAAATAACAGATGACTAACATATCCTAAACAATCTGTAAGAAAACTGAGTGGCCTACATGAATATTTGTTGAAGTCCTTTACTTATGGTTCCATCATCACTATAATATTTATAAACTTCTTAGCAGTTCTATTTCTACACAGAGATTGGTCACAGCCAATATGGTAGAATGGAAAACAGATATTCGGTCTTTTCTGGTCCCTGGCTCCCGGTACACAGCTCCAACATCATTGGAATGATAAAAGTGTCTTTTAGATGCTAATAAGATACCTTGTGGCTGGGAGTCTGGACTGGAGCTGGATATCAGAGACACCAAGGTGTGATTAGAGAGCTGGAACTTTCAACCAGCCCCACCCGCTGACCTCTGGGAAGGGGGAGGGGCTGGCAGCTGAGTTAATCACCAACAGCCAAGGATTTAATCAGTCATGCCCATGGAATAAAACCCCATAAAAATAACAACAGGGTTCCAAGAACTTCCAGGAAGGTGAGCGAATTATGGTGCTGGGTGGGTGGTACACTCAGAGAGGGCACAGAAGCTCTGTACCACCAATCCCTGTACCTTACCCTATGCAGCTTGCCCACCTGGCCTTTCCTGAGCTACATTCTTTATAATAAATTGGTAATAATAATTAAACTGTTTCTCTGAGTTCTGTAAACAATACCAGCAGTTTATCAAACCTGAGGGAGAAGGAGTCATGGGAACCCCAATTTGCAGTCAGTGTGCATAAAAGTGTGGGTGTCTGGGGGCCCAATCCTTGCAACTGGTATCTGGAAGACAGTCTTGTGGGACTAAGCCAGGAAGCCTGTAGGGTCAGATGCTCACTCTGGTAGGGCAGAATATAAATGAATTGTAGGACACCCAACTGGTGTCCAGAGAGTTGGAGAATTGGTTGGCATGAGAAAAACCCCACAGATTTGGTGTCAGAAGTGTTGTTAGTAAAAACAGCTCAGCCAATGTTTACATTTTCAGTTGAAGCACGAATCTGCATATGTGAAAATAAAGCTTACTATTCTTTATGTGTCTTTTTTTGTTGTTAAAATTTGAGCCAGTAGACACATACTGACAGGTAAATTAAGTACTACGCTTGGTAGTATTTTTTAAATTGCTAAGTAATTGTTAGTCCTTAAAGGCCTCTGACAATTGCCTCTGACCTTTATACTACTCTGTGGTATGTTGATTATTTGCGACAAATGAATTAACGTCGCTGAACTCAAGGGATACTGACTTATGCCTCCTCTGTGTGCTAAACCTATACAGTCATTATAGATTATTCTGACACATATTAAGAACATATATTAAGTTTTCTGTTTCACTGTGGTAATGAACAATTACTAGAATACCATAATACAAGATATATAATAAAGCTAAAACATTTGATAAGTAAGTGCTAGAAGATCCATAATTTCAGCATCATTTTAAGCTGGAGTTCCTTTTAGAAAATCATTACAGACCATTTATAATTAGGGACTGATCTTAAAAGAGAAACTGTACTTGATTAGGCTAAAAGAAGGTAAGTAACAACACAACTAAAAGACGATGCAATATTCCCTTTTTATTTTATTCCTTCAAAATGTAAAGTAAGTTTTCATATATTTGTTGATAACAAAAACGAACGCTCATGAATCCTACTAAGAAACAGAGGTATCAAGAAAAGAAACAACTCGCCGGGCCAGCATGGCTCGGCGGTTGAGCATCAACCTAGGATCCAGGAGATCTAGGTTTAATTCCTGGTCAGGACACATGCCTGGGACGCGTNGAAACAGAGGTATCAAGAAAAGAAACAACTCGCCGGGCCAGCATGGCTCGGCGGTTGAGCATCAACCTAGGATCCAGGAGATCTAGGTTTAATTCCTGGTCAGGACACATGCCTGGGATGCATNAATCCTACTAAGAAACAGAGGTATCAAGAAAAGAAACAACTCGCCGGGCCAGCATGGCTCGGCGGTTGAGCATCAACCTAGGATCCAGGAGATCTAGGTTTAATTCCTGGTCAGGACACATGCCTGGGACGCGTGCTTGATTCCCAGTGGGGGGCATGCAGGAGGCAGCCGATCAATGACTCTCATCATTGATCTCTCTCTCTCTCTCCCCCCCTCTTCCTTCCGCTCTCTGAAATCAATAAAGATATAAGAAACTAAACAGTATGAAAAGTAAAAACATTTTATTAAATGTCCCACAAGAAATAAAGTCGCCACTAGCCATGTAAAAAGCGGCCCCCCAAAGCTCTCCTGTAGTAGCACAGATACAACGTTTAAACACGGCTTACCTAAAACTCCTGTAGGGGGTGATTATTTCAAAGGATTGTTTCACAGTCCGGTCCACCTGCTTCACGTTGGCTACATTCATCGGAATTATGGTGATACCAAGTCCACCCTTAAAATCCTAGTTTGAAGAAAAATAGAAAAAATGATACACCAAACTATGAATTTTTTAAAGTACATTCTCTCAAACCCAATACATCCTACTGAATTTGACTACACACATGTATATGGAATTAAACAATTCATTAAAAAATGCATGGAGGAGTCTTCTTATTTTAGGTGGTCACGTTCAAAGATCACAAGGTACCTTTCTAAGCTTGACAGCTGGGCTATTATTAATAACGTATGGGCCTCTTTCACACGAAATATAAGTTGAGTAGGGCATAGATTTTGAGCTACACATGCCTGGCTTTTAAAAGTTGGGCACTTTTTCACCTTTATTACCCTGTGCCCAGCGGCTTTCTAGGTTGGGGAGCCAAAGACACCACTAGGTTGCTATAATTACTATTTATATAAAAAAAGGGGGAAGTCAAGGCTCTAAAAGATCAAGTTACACAGACAGTGCAGTTGCAAGCGGTAGGAGGCTGAAACCCAGGCCGCCTCTTTGCTCTTCCTTTGTTTTACTCTATGTGTTACCTCTGTTTTGTCGCATTGTTTCTCATTTACTCTCAAAGGCCTCGCTTATTTTTCAATTTTATCTCATTTCCAATATTTTATTACATACCTTTCTTCAATCAGATTCTGAAAAAGCTCCTCTACCGCAATTTTGGTTTGAAAACTGCCTTTTGTTCAACACCTATGGCCACTATGTTTGGTTTGTCTCACCATGATTAGAAGTTGTTCAAGAAAACTACACAGTCTGCATTGTAAAAGCATTAAAGGTTGCCGCATACTGTCTAATCATAAGGGCTTGGGAATTTGATTTGTCAAATAAATAATCTCAATATGTTAAAGATGTAATTAATCTGTACCTCAAAAAATGAAATATCTATGTGAACAGATGCAGAATAACTGTGCTCTGAATTCCTAAATTAAATTACGACTGGGAAAAGTAGTCATACTAAAGGCAGGCTGCAAAAAACAGTGATCCACTTTCGATAAGGACACTTTCTGGCAGAGACTGTGAGAGCAACAATTCACAGGCCTTCTTTTGTCTCTCCTGCTGTACAGGTCAAACGTAAAAGCACTGTTTTCCCATTTCTCTTGCAGGTGGGAGGGGCCTTATGTCATAGTTCTGGTCAATAAAACATAAATAATTCCTGGTCTGGGGTAGGAAGGTGGAAGGAAAAGCTCTGGAAAGAGAGAGACGTTCACCGCTTGCCTTTCCATCTTCCTGGGCAATAACATCTGGAAGCATGGAAGCCAGCTTAGAAGGTTAGGCTCCTGAGATGGAAGCCTGAGGACAGATTCCTATACTCTGCGGATGCCGGAGTGGGTTAGAAAACAGAAAGAACCTTGCTCCCTGGTGGTGTCCGCTCTCCTCTGCCTGCACAGAGATTTGCTAAAACAAATATATCCTTACCTACTCAGCTAGCCTTCAGGTGTTTGATGCTAATGCATTCCTGACATAAAAGAAGTGAAATAAAATAATGTGATAACAGGTCTTCCCCAGCTTGTAAAGGTATCCAGACTTTCCACCACAAATTGCAGAAAAGCCTCATTTTTCTTAATGTACAAGTTTTAGTTAGAATAAGAAAATGACTCATAAAATCAATCATCAATTAAATATTTTTTTCTGATGAAAGAACAAATGGCTCATTTTGTTAGGAGAAAAAAGACAAAAATTGAAAGTCAACAATATAAAAAGAATGTAGAGGCATGCTAAGTGTTGTAAAATAGTAAGAATGTGGTAGAGTTCTACGTGGTATAGTTAGCCAACTTAACAAAAATTAGTATTTAATGTGACCTCTATGGACAGAAGGGAATCAAACTTTTCCATGGGCCCCATTTCAATGTTTCAGCATATTGGCGCAGTGATATACTTACTAATTAAATTAAAAGAAAACTCCCAACTATCCACAGCTACAGTCTTGCTGGATAATGTAACTGTTCGAGAAACCCCCAATGCATGTGATTGGAAACTGAGCTCTTTTATACATGAGGAAATAAAGTAGGGGTAGCAAGATATTTTTAAAACAGACTTCTGATGGCTCAGCTTGATATAGGGGATAACTCTGGAATAAAATCATTAGACGGCATGGCCTTCCAACAAGTCTGAGTAATGAAGCTTTTGACAAGAGCTGGCTGTCAGATTGCTGCAGGTTATATTCTCTGAAGGAAGGTCTGGCCCGTAGGTACCAGGTGTTACTAAGGGCATAGTACACACTCGGGCCATCGGACCAGCAGATGGTAAGACTGACAACCTTTATGGAAACTGATGGGCCTCTTCAAGGCTCCAGCCTGAATAGATGGCCCCTCCTTTCTACAAGCAAGTCATGACATGTCTACATACAAAGCGAAATTTCCGTTAAAAACAAAATGAGTGGAAATCGGCTCAAGGCCCCAGACTTCTTCCAAGCAAGGCAAAGGTGATTTTTCAGTCTAAAAAAAATTGTAACCCATTTATCAGCCACTTGCTATGGCCACATGGTTGGAGTAATTAGAGTACCCACTGAACTCACCAGCACAAATGGACTGTAAAATGTACCGCAGAGGAACAAAATAAATGTCAGTGCTCTTGAGAGCTATTAAATAAGAAACAACTGCATTTCTTATTAAAAATATCTATGGTGACATTAAGCCATCTTTTCAGACAGGATTGAGAACATATTTAGAATACATCTCATTCCTCGATGCTCATCAAAGTTACCTGTGCTGATTCTCCCTCCCACCCTGAGATTCTGACTCCATGAATCGAAAGGCAGAGCCTAAGAATCTTCAGTTAAAAAACAAAGCAAAACTGCAACCCTGTGACTCTCACATGTCGCCAATACTGAGAAACACTGAATCAGCAGAACCAGCTGTGGAATCTAGACAGTGTGAGTCCGCGATATTCACTATCAGGATGTAAACGCTTCTCTCCGCCTGCTGTACAGCAAAAGCAGCATGTGATCAGATCACACAAGGATCATTTGAAATCACTGACATGACTAGGTAAAAACAGGCTGGCCAGAGCTCAGTGACACACTGGATTTTATCAGGAACCTCTCTGTCCTGGGTCACTGTCTAGAGGCTCTGTGTCACTATCTGGAGGCTCTGAAAACATCAGTCTTCCTTAAGCATATGCAGAGCGCTCCATCACCGGTTCGTATCTGTGTGTGCAGTGCTCTGAAGCTGACAAATAGCTCTCATTTGATTTCCTGAGTAATTCTGTGAAGAAGGCAGAGCAGACAGACCCGTTTTTAAAATGGGAAATTTTGTCCTGGCAAAACAGTGCTTATGAAACACTTAGCACGCGCCAGAAAGTGCGTTAAGTGCGGGGTCCACCCCAAAGCGTAAGACAGGGTGCCCGCCTTGGGGAAGATTTGTAATGAGGTCGGCAAAAGAAAAGAGCACCGAATCCCACCCAGAAAAAGAGAGAGTTGTGTCATAGGAGGCTTTCCAAAGGCAGAGACGCTTGACTGGACAGATGAGAAAACCCAGACCAGCCTGCTCCGCTATACCTCTCCAGCTTCAGTTCACTCCTATGTAAAATGGGGATAACAGCAGGACCTATTGCATCACTGTGGGGAGCGTTAAATTCATACATTAAAAGTGTTTAGAAGGATGAACACTGGTCCACAGTAAGTGCTACATAGTCCTAGCTAGCAACTGTTATTACTTTCTACCTCTTAAAGTTTAAAGACAGTTGAACACATTACCTATTTAAAAGTTAATTACAAGAAAATACATGTATAAAAATAACAAGCATATATACATTTTAAAAATGGGATGTAATGTGAATGTTAAACTTTTAAGAAAATTTAAAATAAATTACCCACTAACTGCAATCTGACTGTCAGCACTATTCTCATTTTGAAAAAAATAGGCACAAGTCAGGAACAAGCCAAACTTCCAACCTTTAAAATGCTATAAATTGGACTAAAAAACAATACCATAAAACCTAAATGGCTAGAATGTTATTGTAGAAAATATAAAGCTAAAACAGACTGTGGAGTAAATGACATTTTACATTTCATTTGCTGTCAGTGAATGGAGAATCTCAGAAAGCGTGAATCCCACCACTAGTACTGCGATAACAACGGCCATGGTTGGCAGTGTGGCCTGGACTGCAAAGGTGGTAATGGCCAAAAGGCACTGGGAGTCAGACCTCGGGGACAACCTTGGCTGAGCCACTCCCTCGCTATACGACTCCTGGCAAGTTATTTAGTTTATCTAGACCTCAACGTTCTCATTTATGAAAAGACAGCAATATCTACTTTACATAGCATTGTTATGAAAATTGATGAATATAAAATCGAGGGTCTAATACATCCAGACAATCCTTTCATTTGAGGGCTCTAAAGCCAGAATTTGTCTTCAATAAAAATATTTCCATTTTATTTAGAATGACTGAAAGTATTCACACCAATCATTCCATATTAAACATCCAGATTAGAATTAATGGTAAGTATCTACCAAGATACTGAAATGGGTTATTTGTACAAACTTGAAGCAACAAAATCTAGTTGAAACTACATTTTAAAACTATGTATAGTGAAAAATGCAAAATAGAACTTTGATTCCTAAACAGAAAAAATAAAGAAGAGTTTATTAACCCCAAATCTACTGAAACCTCAAAGCCTATTTTGGGAAATACTGGATGCCAGGTTTCCATGCCAGGCATTTAAGAACTTGGTGCTCAGACATTTGTTGAAAACAGATGTGGCATTGTATGACATTGGCACCAGGCTTCCTGGGAAACACCAGATGCACAGTTTGGCCAGATACAGAACCCAGAGAATCTGAGGCCATCACCTACATCCTGCTGCTTCTTTCTGCACCACACAACCCATAGCCCTATGAGGTCTATTTAAATTCTATCAGAGTTTCAGTCCCATACCAGACCCCAGGGAACATTTTGCCAGAGGAGTGAGGGGGAATGAGTCTCGTTATACTCTGATTTGAGAATGTTTAATCAAGTGAATTTATGTAGTTAAAACCTCAATGCCACAATGATCACTAAATGGATACGCAAACCCA